ATTGTCATGCCTGCTGGACACCAGTCTGCCCTCCCGCCCCCTGTGCCAGGGGTTCCTGCCTCCTTTTAACAGGTGACCAGTTACCCTGCTCCCCCCACCTCCATACCCCTCACCAAATATGAATGCAATATGTCAGGGGTTCCGAACTGGTATGCATACCCCTGGGGGTATACAGGACATCTCTGGAGGGTATGCGGGAGAAATTGTGTAACGACAGATTTAATTTTCATTATAATAGTATTTGGCATTTAAGGGACTAAACTATCAAACGAATGCAGGTCAGGGTACACAGGCAGCTGGTAAATCTGGAAGGGAATACACAAGAAAAAGTTCGGGAATATGCAATACGTGACAAAGTAAAGACTGAAGGGGGTGGTTAAGATGGCAGTGCTAGTAAGGCAGTGCTCATGCCTGCAAGTGAAGGGCAAGAGGTTATGTATTGCTATCTCTTGTCGGGGGGTGGGTTGGTGACTTTGAGCCGAGGGAGTGAGTAGGGGTGTTTGACAAGCTTAGCTATCTTGCAGCAGCACTATTTGTATATTCATTGGATATGAAGCGGAGAAGCTGCAGTCAACAATATTCTCGGGCCACTCTTAAGACAAAAAAAATCAGAACATGTAAAGTGGATCGCTGCTTTGTTATGAGTGAGCACCTGTGCTGACTTCCAAGAGCTGAGATTCAGCATTGGAACTTCATCTCATTCATTTTCACTTTAATCAGTTTTAATTTCATCTGGTCATACTGGCTAAAGGCAAAGCAAAATCCTTCAATGTTTTTCGTCAAGACTTACCTATAACCATATGTATCGCTTAAAGAGGAATATTTTATTCCATGACCTGACTCTTGATTTATTTTTCACTGAAACTTTGTGAAATCCATTGTCATGCTTTTTAATGAAGCCTAGACCGCTTTAATATCAGGAAACACTTTTACATTAGACAGTGTTCTGAAAGAGACATGTGAAAGACGATCCAGATGCAGAAACTTTGTTTTCTCTGGCAAACAAATTCAGATAGCTCCTGCTGCTAGTGCTCAGGCATCCTTTCTCTGTTTTTGCAAGCTTCAGTACTTTGGGGTGTGTTTTTCCCCCCTCCTCCTCCTCCTCCTAAAGCTATTTTGGATGGACTTGTTTGAGATGACCATTTTGAGCAAAGACAGATTTCGCTGAACTTGAGTTGTCTTCCCAATGCTCATTTAGGCCAATCCTTTGATGCAGGCACTACTATATTTTATATTAACTTTGAGGGTAGGATCAGATTCTTCGCTCTCAATTGATATTTTGTGCCTGCTATCTAATGCCCAGGTTTCCAGTTTTCCTTGTCTTATATTTTAGTCATCATTATTACTCATATGTCTCTTTGGTCAGGTACATGGTTATTTCCTATATTGTATGCAATTGAACTTGCCAGCCCTAACGGTTTAGTGAAATTTTATATTAAAATAATCAACTGTGTTCTGCAGGCACATTTGTTCTTAACGTTGTTACGATTCAGTATCTTACTGTAAAAAAAAAAAAAAAAAAAATCACCGACAAGCCAAAGATATCTGTCATGGGGGCTGATATAATAGTCTTGTATCTGTCTTCTAAATACTCACTTATATCTAGCAAGTACATTACCACATTTCATATTCACCTGCAGCAAACGGTTGGGCTTTGCTTGTAAACTTCCTTTTCTCTCTCCATCCTTAGGAAACCAGAAACAGGTTGTTCTAGTGGAGTTGTTAGGTGCACTAAATTATGCTATGTGGAACTGTTGTGTTCCTCCAGTTGGAATTTAGTTGTCATTTGTTATGAGCCGCATCTGGATTGTATCATTCTTCTTTACACAAAGATGCACGGTGAAAG